TCTGGGTCCTGGGGACACATGAACCTTTCTGCCAGAACCAGAGAGGTCTTGAGATGTGAATCCAGAGCTTCCTGGGGTGGAGGGGTTCAGTCGGATTACCACTGCGTCAGCACCTGGCCCCAGCTGTGTCCATTTTATTATTCTAGTGAATCTGTGTTTTGATCATCTTCCTTGTAATTCTAAGGTAACTCTTGGCCTTTGTTCTTCTTTGGCACAACCGTCCATTCTTTTTCAGGGGTGCAATTCTCATTGTCCCTAAGGATGCTAACTAGAGTTTGCATTTTACATTTTCATGTCTGTCTCATTTGCTCCCTGGGCTTTCTTGTTTGTGCCAATCATGGGATCACTGTAGTTGTGATGGGGGGGGGGTGTTGCTAACTAGTGTTTGGGGTGTGTGAGTTTTTATTTGTGTCTGTTTCTCCACGATGACCCCTGCCCTGTCCCTACGGTAGTCAAGTGGCATCTGGTTCTGGATCTTGTTCTGGTTTCCTTTTCCCCTTTAGCTTGCAGGGTCATGGGACTGTGCTCTAGAGAAGAATCTCAGACTGTGACTGCTCTGGGTTTTAAAGAGAGAAGGTGACAGCCCAGTTAATACCAGGTTCCGAAAAACCTAGTTTTAGTACTTGCTGCTTTTCTCAGTTGTCTGTACTTTCTGCACTTGTGGCATGTGGACTAATAATAAAAGCACATTGTTACTGTTCTGGAGCAATCAGTCTTTTCAGAATCTAGAGATGTTAAACTTTGTTACAGGTTACTGAAGTACAGCCACTTTTATGGGCAGAATAGTGTTAAAAATCAACACTTCTGGGACCAGCAGTTAGTATAATGGCTATGTCCCTGGACTCCCATGTAGTCTACCGTGGTTTGAGTCCCAGACCTGGTGGCTTAAACTCACATCGGGTGTGTGTGTGTGCCCAAGATCTTAAGAGGAGAATGGAGGAGAAGGGATTGCGGCCATGTCATCCCCTCTGCGGGGTGATTTCTCGCTTTCTATCTCTCTGTCTCTCTCTGTCTTTCTGGCGAGCGCACATGCCCTATAGCAAAAAAATACCTCCCCCCCCCCACACCCACACACACACAAATCAGCACTTCTATTTGGTTTTAGACAGGGCTGGCAAAATTCATGTTGCAGCCCGTTTGGATTTTACCACCACTTTCTGGGTGTTCCCCGCTGTTCAAACTTTTTAAATACTGTAAACCGCTTCACTGGGCTTTGTAGAAGGAAGCTGTGGTTTCTGGTCTTCCTGTTCACTCCTGTTTTTGTCAGAGGGAGGGCTGACATCTGCTCTGTCTTTCGACAAGCTCAGAAGCGAATAGAGAATGCACGGCAGTTCTGGGACCAGGGGGAGGAAGCAGAGCTCCTCCAAAGAAATTCCTCCTCAAACACAGTTTCAAATGCGATGTTCCATGGAGAATGAGGTAGGCCCAAACCCTGCGAGTACAGAGTTGTCTAGGAAGTCATGTAGGGTCCTTGTGAGTGACAGTTGTGGCTGCTTCCCAGGCTTACACACTGGGAGCTGGGATGGCCTGGTTCCCTGACCTCTGCCCGGGAGGGGCTAGAGGGATCTTTCACAGCTTCCTGGACGAAGGCCCCATGACTTCCGACAGGCTGATGTGCTAGAGGCTGGTTAGTAGGGTGTCTGCACGGAGGTGGGTGCTGTCCCTTCTGGGTGGGTGTTGGGTTCTTTCATTCTAACCGAGGAGTTCAAGGGCAGAGTTAACCTCTTCCAGAGTCTTTGTCCTATGGGTCTGTACTCAAGACCTGGGGTCTAAGGTGAACCAATGGTGTTGGAAAAGGTCCGGAAGGAGAACACTCTTGGACTGGAGAGATTCATGCCTGGAGCCTTGTCCACAAGGACCCCAGTAGGACTGTGTGAGTAACCCCGCCCACGCCGTTATGGCCCTCTGTGCATTTGTTGCTGGAGCAAGTAGGCTTTTTGTCCTAGAATGTGCAAAAGACAGTTTGTGGGATAGCAGGTGGTGTGGTGGTTGAGGCGGCTGGATCCCACACGGCTGACTTTGTGGTTTGAATCCTGGGCCTGGTGATTTGAAAAATGCTGAGTGTGTGTTCACGTGAGCCCAAGATCCAGAGAGGAGAATGAAGGAGAAGGGATTGTGGTGTGGACATCCTCTAGGGTGTGGAGTAGAGAGGTATGATTTCTCACCTTCCCTCTTTCTCTCTGTCTTTCTCTAGTAGGTGCACAAGTCCTATAGACAAGCAAACCAACAATGACAATTTGTCACAGGGCCTGTGATATTTACCTGAGGCAGTGTGCGATTTATGTGGGGACAGCAGCCTCTCACCACCTAGACACAACTGCAGCTTCAGGTTTCTGCTGATGCTGGACTGCTCCGAGGGGTCTTTGTGGACCCATCTGCCAAGTTGGTATTCGTTTTTCATCTTTCCCCTCCTCCATGCTAGGCCCTAATCACCCTGGGCAGCTGCTATTTGTCTCTCTTTGGACTGGAGGTCCCTGGGAGCAGGGATGGTGGCTTCTCTGTACAGCCCTGTGTCTGCTCATAGCGTATCCTCGCAGACTGCTGAATATTGAACTTAGACACTCAGGGCCTTTGACTTGGAATATCTTTTTTCACAGATAGACTTCTATTAATTACATGAGACCTACCCTATAGTTTATCATAAGGATTAATATGCACCCGTGAAAACACTTAAACATTGTACCCACAACGTGCTGGGAACTCAGTGCATTTTCATTTCTTTTTTCAGTTTGTAGGAGGGTGTATGAACAGGACAAGGGAGCAAGCACCCTTCCCATTGGGGTGTGGTCATGCCTCAGTCCCTTTTCCTCTGTTTCTCCATCCTGTCAGGAATTTAGGCAGACATGCACATTTTCCCAGGATGTTTTTACAAGCCACTGGGTCTAAGATTTTTTTTATTTTTGAGAGGTTTTTGCTAAAGAATGCTTGCGCTCGCTAAAAAGACAGAGAGACAGAAAGCAAGAAATTACCCCTCCCCCCAGGGGGGATGGCCACACCGCAATTCCTTCTCCTCCATTCTCCTCTTGGGATCTTAGGCACACACGCACATGCGCCCGGAGTGAGTTTTAAGCCGCCTGGTTTGGGACACGAACTGCGGTCGACTACATGGGAGTTCAGCTACATAGCCATTACACAAACTGCTGGTCCCTGAGTCTAAGATTTGAACTGTGTGGTCGGCCATGTGAGATCCAGCTTCCTTAACCACCAGACCATGGGGCTGGCGTGCATCTTCATTTTCTTCCTCTGAAGTTCATAGCACTCTTTCTGGAATATGCTGAGCATTGCATCTTGCACAGAGAACGGTCTGTGTGCATAGTCCCATGACACTCCTTGGCCCTGTGCAGAGGCCACCCTCTGTCCTTAGTCTCGTTCTGGCTCTTTGATTGAGTATGTTGCTTGCTTTAAACTAAGGGGCATGCCCTCCACCGTAATGGCTGGCCGCTGAGGATTTGTTCAGTGGATGAGTTACTCAGGGTTTGTCACTCACCCAAGTGAGTGGTTAATCCAATAAAGCTCTAGACCTGCAGCTCCTGTGAGGGCCAGCCTGGGTCGTACATGAGGAGGACACTCTCACTGGGAAACTCCTTGGTCAGGCTTAGCTCTAGTTTTTGCTTTTTAACTGAGAATTGCATTTTAAGTTCCCAACTGTGAGTTATTTTAAGCTAAAGATGGAAAATATTGGGAAAAATGTCTTAAGGGTCAGGCAATCTTTTCAGAGTGAGTCCAGAATGTTCTTGATAGTTTTCCAAGGTGGCATATATTCCATGTGGATGTCTTGGTTCCATGCCATGGCCCTGGCAAGTCCCTTCAATCCTTATGGCCTTAGTTTCTTCAGGAAAAACTCCACTTCCCAGCTGGTGTGGGATCCACTAGTGGAGAAGCCACACTTAGCCTTCTGGGGGCTGAGTTGGTCCTTTGGTCACCTGGAGTCAAAGGCGATCAGATGACATTGGTGATGATGAGCACACACACTCACTGAAGTCCTGAATGAAGGGTAATGTTTGAAACTACCTCTATGCTATCAGTCTGTGGAAAAGAACCTAGGTTTACTAGAACTCTGATTCGGGGTGGGGGGAGATGTCAAAATACTCTCAGCTTGCTTTATTATTTTGTTTTTGGAGAGGTTTTTGCTATAGGGCACATGTGCTCACCAGAAAGACAGAGGGAGACAGAGAGATAGAAAGACAGAAATGAGAAATCATCTCCCCCAGGGGGGATGGCCACACCGCAATCCCTTCTCCTCTTTTCTCCTCTTGGGATCTTGGGCATGCAATCACATGCACCTGGTGTGAGTTTAAGCCTCCAGGTCCAGGACTTGAACCGTGGTCTACTGGCGTATCCAGCAACACAACCATTACGCCAGCTGCTGGTCCCCCCTTTTTTTTTTTTTTTTTTTTTTTAACCAGAACTGCCCTTTATATTTTCGTGTTTAAAAGCAACTTAGTTCCAGGCCAGCAGGTGGCATGGTGGTTAGGGTGCTGGATGCCCACATAGCTGACTGTGGTTCAAGTCCTGGACTTGGTGGCCTGAAAAATTGTGCTGAGCACATATGTGTACGTGCCCAGAACCCCAAGAAGAGAATGGAGGAGAAGGAATTGTGGCATGACCATCTCCCCTGGAGGGTGATTTCTCACTTTCCCTCTCACTGTCTTTCTCTGGTAAGCATGCCTGCCCTATAGAAAAACAAAACAAAACTAAACTAAACTAAAAAACAAAAAGCAACTTAATTCCAAAAATCGGGTCTGGTACTTGTTCAGTTTTGATGCTTGAGACAGCAGTGAGCCCGCACAAGTGCCTGCCTTCCCTCCCTTGCGCCGACAGCTGTAAAGTGCCTGTCACCCTCAACCAGGGCCATAGCTTCCGTCTATGCTGTGCTGAAGTCTCCAGAGAAGCCACAGTGGATGAGCAAGGCTCTGTCTCCTTACTTCATACTATCAACATCCCGCTTTCTAGGAGGACTTCATTCACCTGTTGGAAAGAGCAGTACATGGTGCCGCCATCCTCAGGCAGAGGAATAGGGCCAGAGATGTGCTTGCCTCCAAGCGGTGGCAGGGGTCTCATTAATGCTGCCATGATTTGGAAGCCATTGGGTGGAAGGGGCAAATTCCTCACAGGCACCATGGCATTCGCTGTCTTTGGCATTATGGTCACTCTGTCAGTCTGGGAGTGGTCAGTGGTTACATCACCTCTTGGTCCCCTCTCCTGTCCCTGGCTATTCAGGGAAACATCTTTGGGGCACCCTGCACCTGTTCAGTGCTGACTGGCTGTTTCACTATGGACCTAGTTCCTAGGATTCTGCTCTGGTGTTATCCGTGCAGCTTGATGAAAGTGCCCTTGAGGGCATAGACTGTCCCCCAGCCCCCAGTGCCTCCAGATGTCTGGCCTGATGTAAGCACTGAGACTGGGTCAACACCAACATCCCTGCTCCTTGCCCCAGGCAGGCTGCAGGTGGGTGCTGGGGCATACAGCAAAAAGGGCAGAGGGAGACAGGGCTGACCCTGGGGAGGAGCTGGGCCTCAGCAGGA